TAGGAGAGCACTGCCACGGAACTACATCCCAGTAGCTGCACTAGGAGAGCTCTGCCACGGAGCCACATCCCAGTAGCTGCACTAGGAGAGCACTGCCACGGAACTACATCCCAGTAGAGCACTGCCACGGAACTACATCCCAGTAGCTGCACTAGGAGAGCACTGCCACGGAACTACATCCCAGTAGCTGCACCAGGAGAGCTCTACCATGGAGCCACATCCCAGTAGCTGCACTTTTTTCACTTTTCATTTGCTACAGGACTTCACTAAGACCTCAGATGGCTATTAAACTTCCAGGCCTCCTGCCTAGGACTAGGAAGTAGCTGAGACTGCAGGCCTGCACCACACACTTCCTCCTCTGCCTTTACCTTTGCAGGAGAGAAACCTTGGCTGGAGGGCAGGGCTTACACAAGTGTGCTTAGGTGAAAAGGCAGATCCCGGGTTTGTTACCATCAGCAATATTTACCCTTTCTTTCCTGATAGAATTTCCTGACCAGAAGACCTAGAGGAAGAAAATGGGGTAGCAAAAATACCCGCTCTCTGTCTTTTCCCCCACACACTCCCTTTATTCTGTGCCCAGTCAGTGTCTACTATCTGTTATGAAAATTAGAACTTCCAGTGCCTTGTGGAGATTGTGTGTCAGCATTAGGGGGTTCACAGGGTTGTACTCCCAACCAGAGACTTTCCCGAAGAGTCACATGGGTAACAAAAGCTGATGACTGCATCTCACAAGGTGAGGTTGGCAGTGTGACACCCTGACTTAAGAGGCTGTGTCCCAGGACCCTGCTGTGTGTCCTTTAAAAGTGGTGTGACTGCTTCTATAAGCTGCTTTTATTGAATCAGGAAGACTCAGACATATGCCCTTTTCTCAAAATTGGAAAGCATTTAAGGTGTTAAAGAGACGTCCACATGGTCACCCAGTCCCAGTTCCTGGGGAGCTGGGAGGCATCTGGGAACCTTGAAGCAATCTTGCATTTCCGCTTTCTAAAATGTGACATCTTCTCTTGGCAACAATGGGAAATTCTGTCCCTCGAGGGATTCTGCACAAACATCAAGGAGCCCGAATCAGTAGTCCAGTGCCTGGCACCCAGTGCCTGGGAGGTGGATAAGGTGGTTCCACCTGGGAACATCTATTTTCTAGGTCTTCTCAGTGTCCCTGTGCCCGCCCGGCCTTTGTACAACTCTCCACAGTGCTGGGGCTGTGTACACTCAGTTAAGAGTCTGCCCTGGGAGCATCGCTCTGTGTGAGACCCACACGGGCTGCAGGGAACCATGCGAAGTCCAGAGGCCTCAGGTAATCGGCCAGATCTCTGCGCTGCCATCAAAGGGAAATTTAGAAAATATTGATCAATAGCTACTTGTAAACCAGTTCCCACCCACTGCAAACTGGTTCCCGCCCACTCCCGCCCACTACAAACCAAGATGATCAGGACAGACCGGTACACACCTGGGACAGGTGTTCAGGCGCTTCCTATCACAGGTGCACCCTGTCACTCACACTGACCCGTGCGCCTCACCTGGCTTCCTATCACAGGTGCACCCTGTCACTCACACTGACCCGTGCGCCTCACCTGGCTTCCTATCACAGGTGCACCCTGTCACTCACACTGACCCGTGCGCTTCACCTGGCTTCCTATCACAGGTGCACCCTGTCACTCACACTGACCCGTGCGCCTCACCTGGCTTCCTATCACAGGTGCACCCTGTCACTCACACTGACCCGTGCGCCTCACCTGACTGAGTGTTGCACAATTCACTGACTATAAAACCCAGGCTCCTGCATGATTCCTCAGAAAGATGAGCAGGCTTGGCAGCAGGGAACCATGAGGAAAGGTCACTTCCCACGTTGTATTCTAACCTGACACTTGATTGTCTTTAAAATAAAGTACAGTGAGCGGGGCGTGGTGGCCCAGACCTTTAATCCCAGTGCTCGGGAGGCAGAAGCAAGCAGATCTCTGTGAGTTTGAGGCCAGACTGGTCTATGTAGCAAGCTCCAATCCAGCCAAGACTACAGACTGAGACCCTGTCTCAAAAAAAAAAGTGATTATTTAAAACCCGCCCCAGATCAATGTTGAGTTATTCATTTGCCACGTGTGCATGGAGCCTGCAGGGAACTGACCCAGCTTCTTGCTAATGCAGAGCAGCCCTGGGGACCTCTCGGAGAAGCCACAGTCAATTACCCTCATGGTCCTGCTCAGAGAACCGGTCTCCTTTCAGGGGAGTAAGGCCTGGGTGGGACAGAGCCCCGGGCTCAGGGACAGGGGTGTGGGATGACTGTACAGCCACTGTGGCCAATGCTTCCATCATCTCCTAACACAGCTGCCAGTGAGCGGGAGCCTCTGCCCTTCAGGGGAAATCGTCAGGCCTCCATTGCATGCCTCCCTCTTAGCCTTTTAAATCCACTTCTCACCTCTCTCCTGAAATGACAACCTATGTGGCCACAAGCTTGAGCATCTTGCCAAGGCCCACGAAGAAGAGGGAAGGAAAGGTGCTTGTATTTGAGATGGATTCAGGAAGTGTACCAAGAGGGACCCAAGACCAGCTGATATGGAAGGACTTTCATCCCACCATCCCACCCCCTCTCAGGATAAAACACACACGCACATGCGCACATGCACACGCACGCATGCATACACACGCACACATACACACATGCATGCACACATGCATACACATGCACACATACACACATGCATATACACATACACACACACACACACACACACGCATGCATGCACACACGCTCGCCTGCACACACAGTATGAAGGACAGGGATACACATCCCACCAGTGGATCCTGCCATTGCCCAGCTCACGAGAACACAGTATGCCATTCGTCTTTAAAAGGCAGAGGATATGGCTTAGTTGTTAAAACACTTTCCTTGTACACATGAGGACCTAAGGTTAATCTCAGAATTCAAATTTGAAAGGAGGAGAAAGAAGGAAGAAGAGAAGGAGAAGATGAAGAAGAGGAAGAAGGGGCAAGCATGGTGGTGAAGCACCTGTGATCCGAACACTTCTGAGGCAGAAACTGGAGGATCACAAGTTCAAGGCCAGCCTGGGCTACAAGAGAGCCTAGCTCAAGGAAAGAGAGAAGAGGGAGGGAGAGTAGGAACTGGTGGGGAAATCCAACAGATGTAGGGCCAAGAGACTGGCTGAACAGCTGGTGCCTTGGAGAAACATGATCATAAGCTGACCTGGTTCCTACATAATCCGCTGCCTCTTCAGCCCGAAGCCAGGAAGCAAGGGTTCAGGACAAGTGGGTCTTAGAATCTGGGATCAAAATGAGGGGAGACGTCCCGACTGCAGTAAACTCTCAGACTCCCCTAAGGCAGGGAGAGGTGGGGCAGGGCTAGCTATAAGACTCTAGGGCATGGTTCTCAACCTTCCTCATGCTACAACCCTTTAACACAGTTCCTCATGTAGGGCGCCATGATGCTATCACTGTTATGAATCATAAATACCTGACGTGTAGAATACCTGGTATGTGACCCTGTGGGGATCGCCACCCATAGGTTGAGAACTGCTCTAGAGGAAAGCAGGTCCCGGCTCCGGGGATGCTGCAAGCCTGATTTCTCCTCTCTCATCACCCGCTCGCCTTCCAGCTCCCCTGAGTCCAGCAACCAGGGCCATGGTGAGGCTTTCCTCTTGAAGCTGTATATCTGATGGCCACACTGTGGCCACACTGGCTGCGAGCAAGGCTTCAGTTGGCAGCTGCTGCTTTAAGAAAAGCCGAGGTCAGCAAGAGCGTGAGGAGGTGGATGGGAGACAGCTGGTCCAGGCAGACACTCAAGACGCTGAGATGCAGAAACAGGCAAGACGTGGCCTGCAGAGGGGTCCAGGCACGTGTCCACGTGCACACACACCTACCTATGTATGTGTGTCAGGTGCGCAAACGCATAGAGTCTCACACAGGTGTGTGGGTGCACTCTGCAATGCTTAGGAACAGCGACGAAGCTCACCTCTCCTTACCCATGACCAGCCACCGTCACGAAGACACAGAGAGAAGAGAATCAAGTCCACGATAGGGAGAATGTGCTAGGGAAGGAGAAGCATCATCCAGAACAAGCAGATTTCCACGTCCGCGTTCCACAAGGGCCCACATGTCTGGGAGAATGTGCCTTTCCCACCAGGCTGGCCGCTAATTGCCTTCGACGGTTTTCTCCCAGGCAGAAGCCTGCGCAGGTCTGGCATTGACGTTCACCAGATTTTGTTATTACATTCGTCTCGCAGCTCTAAAACAGTAGCAAATATGTGCAATTTATTTAAACAACACTGGGGAAATTAACACGGCGCAAACGCTTCCTCAGCAAATGAAGATAAAGCCGGGTTTTTAAGCGGGTGTGTGAGAGGCTCTTGGAGCTTCCAGTCTACAATGCGGCCTTGGCAGCAGCAGCTACTATGAAAGAGACTCAGCTGTGTGAGGCAGCCTGGTGGGCTCTGCCTCGCCACACACTCAGAGCACTGGGGACAAGTCCCAGAGGCTGTCCTTCGGAAGAGGTCCAGTTGCTCACATCTGGCCAGCTCAGCAGATATGCTCTGAATGAGGACAGTCTAGCAGGTCCAGTGGCCGCAGAGCTGTGGTTTCAGCTGTTCCAGGGTCAGAGGCATGAAGATCACAAGCCCAAAACCTGACTGAGCTATAGAGTGAGCTCCTCTCTTAAGATGAAGAAGAGGAAGGAGAAAGGGAAGAAGAAGAAGAGAGGAAGATGGGTGCAAATCGTATGCAGGTCATGGGATGGACGCTTCCCGTGGGTTATTCCTGCAAACGGTGCCAGAGCCTAGTGCCCCACACATTACCACCTGTGATTGTGTGCCCAGACCCATGAGGAGGTGCTACGGTGTCTTCCCAAGGTCTCTGCAGCTTGCTGGCCCTGAAGGGTGGCAGCAATCCCTTCCAGCAACTCACTAGTGGCTACCCATGACTACTACGGGTCAAGCCAGCTCCTTGTTCAGCAACAGCTGCTGCGGAAATGCCAAGTGCACCCTCCCCACCCCAGGATGCAGTGCCTCACCCCCAACACCAGGCCTCCTGAGACCGACCCTGGCCACTGGTGGGCCAGCTTCTTTTTCAGGAAGTCCACCCTCCCATTCATGACCACAGTGTTGGAGTCTCTTGAGCAGTGAGTCCATCTTCATAAAGTTGCGGGGATGGCCCCAGTTAAAACTAGCTTCTGACTCACTGACTTATTCTCTCCCTGCAGCCCGGCAGAATCCCCCCAGGCCTCCAGAAGCCCGATCTCCCGTGGCCTGGCTCCTGAAACCATGAAGCAGCAGCCAGTCTTCCATTCTGGCCAGGCCAACACGAGGGCCCCGTCCTGACCTAGCAGAACCACAGCAAACCCAACTTCAGTGGTGCTAGGCCAGAGCCCCACCCATCCACCCCACCCTGTAAACTAGGAAGGCTGCAGTTAGAGCCCTTGCTTAGCACGCACAAGGCCTGAGTTCATCAGATGAGCCGGCACCTGGGACTTGTGAGCCTTGCCATGAACGCATGTGTCTGAGAACCAACAATGTCCTTCACTCAAGGACGCAATAGACAGAAGCATCCAGCATGGCCCGGAGCTGGCCAGGCCTGGTACTGAGGAACAGGTGTCTCTAACAAGCCCCTTAGTATAAGCTGCAGGTGTGGAGCCAGCATGAAATGCAAGCCCTGCCCCCTCCAGCTGCCAGCAGATTTAAAAGCCAACCGGGGAGCAGGGAGACTTCTCTGGGACTTCCATGGGAATATGTGTCTCCTCAACTCCACTGCACATCCCATGAATGCCACTCCACAGGACTCCAGAAGTGAGAGCTGGCACTCGGGAGGCTGAGGCAGGAGCATGGCTGTAAATTCAAATGAGTTTCAAATCAGCTGGGACTACAACATTCAAAGGTGTCTGTCCACAGGATGGATGCTCAGGCTGTCTGTCTGTCTGTCTGTCCATAGGGGGTGCTAATCCACGGAGTAAGTGCACAGGTTCATCCACATTGGAGATGAACTTTACCTTGTTGGTTTGGCAGGGGGAAGGGTGTGTATGTTACTTTAATTTGCGTTCTTGATTCATAGAAGATGTCTACATGTTTATGGATGTTAGGTGCCTATTGTGGCATGTTCGGCACATATCGATGTGTGTTCTTTTCTTATTATGAGAGAAATTATTGATTTAAAAAAGCTGTTTATATAGGAGCTAGCAACCCTTTGTGAGATTTCTTTCTGATTCGGTTGCTTAGCACAAAGCTATGGGTTCCAAAAGAATTTAAAAACCAAAGAAACCCCTTCGCTATGGTCCACTAAGGTGCTGTGTGGACTCCTTTTTGTGGTTTCCACTTCTAATTCCACAAAAAAAAAAAAAAGACTTTCACCCTTTTCCCAGTGTCCCCCACTCTTCCACACCAATAGGGGAGGACATAGACACTCCTAACAGGGGCCTTTGTGTAAAAGCCTGACTTGATATCTCTCACTCTTCTCCCTCAGAAAGGAAAGACAGCAGCCCTGGACCCCTCTCAGTCCCCAAAGGACACACTGCTGCCGTGGCCCCAGCACCAGAGCTCCGGAGGGCTGAGGAGGCAGAAGCGTGACTGGGTCATCCCGCCCATCAACGTGCCAGAGAACTCCCGCGGGCCCTTCCCCCAGCAGCTCGTCAGGGTAAGTGGACCCAGCTGTTCTTAAGGCTGGTCTGGGCAGGTTCTGAGGTGTGGGAGGCACTGTGCAGTAAAGAAACTGTGGGGAAACGTGGAGCCAAGGCCACTCTGAGGGGATGTTCTGCCGACCGGCCTCTCGGTTGCAGCGACTGCTCTTCAGAATTATTTGTTGCACTGTCCTGTCTGTGGACGCTGGTGTGGTTCAAGGTTGTCCTTTGGCCTCTGACGCCTGCCTGTCTGTGATCTGACTGTGTTTTCCCCTTACACATCTGTGATGACGGTCACGTGATGAAATGCAGGGACATGATCAAGGAGAAGCCCCATGAAAATGAGGGTTCTGGGGCTTTGCAAGAGTCACGAGAGGCCAGAGTATGTGGAAAGAGGCGTCTGTTCTCAGGCCAGCTCTATTGTTCGTTCCTTTCCTTGTAGTCCAGAGTTGTGTGTTTAGTGTGCAGATAGCATCAGAGCTCCCTGCCAGCTCTTCGTCACTACTGTCAGCCCCAGGGGGTTTCCTAGTCTATCCAAGAGGGGCAGGGGATTTAGAGTAGAAACGCTGGCATTGGTGCTGTGACACACACCCAGGGACACTCCGTGGCAATGTCCCCTGCTTCTGCGCACACTCACCACAGGGGGCGTGAGGCTTTCCTGGAGCTGCCTGAGTCAGAGCCAGGACCTTGGGCGGGCAGAGGAGGCTGTCCAGGAGGGAAACCCCACTGGGGAGCCTCTGCTCCTGGCTACTGACTCACCCACTGTCCACAATGGCTCCTAAGATGATGCTGAGGGCAGCCGTGTGGTCCTCACTCTGTGCACGAGTCTTGGCCCTCTCCAGATGGTGGCTGCTTCTGGCGATCACTGCAATGTCACCTACTGAAGGGTTTTCCCCAAGTCTTTCATTTTTATTATAAATCAATTTGTTCTGAGAGGGGTTTCATCCAGCCATGCCTGCAATGCTGTATTGCACGCCACATGGAAGGTGGCTATGAGCATGGCTGCCAACACAGAGAAGTCGCCTCCATGCGAGCCTAGGCCATGGGGACAGCAGTGTGTCTTAGAGATGCACAAGGCCCTGCAGAGCCTCCTGAGCCTCATCTGGTGCAGAGAAAGATGCAAGGGGGGAGGAGAAGAGATGCCCGAGCCACCCAGCCCAGCCTCTCTCTCTTCCTCAGAGCTGGCTCGCTTTTCCGAGATGGCCCTGTCTGCAAATCTCTAAGTATCTCTAGGACACAGGTGTGAACTGAGCAGGACCCAGGCGGCATATGAACAGAAGTTGTGGCTATGTGCCCATCAAACCAAATTCTTGAAAGTAAGCAGCAAGCAGAAGCTTGATTAAAAACTCCCAGTCAGTCATCCCCAGCCTCCAGGAAGCTCTGCTCCAAGCTATTCCCATGGGCAGTGAGTGACAGGTGAGCTGAGGGCTCTGGTCTGCTCACATCCAAAGGGAATGTCCAGAACCAGGCAGTGGGGAAGGATCAGGAGCACTGTAGCATCCCCAAATCTTGGCTCCACTCCTATTCTACAGACAGACCGGGAAAACATAACAAGACCACAGGATGCCCTTGTGGGCAGAGCCATACTGCAGAAAGAGCTACCTGTTTATCACCATGGGGACAGGGGTCAGCTGTCCTCTGCTGGGCCTGAGACCCGAACGGATGTGTCAGTGGTCAGGGATATGGCCAGGCATGGTTAGAACTGAGGGAGTGACCACTTACTCCCACCAGCAGAGACCTGGGTCCACTATCAGCTGGAGACCTTTCTCAAGGTGTGGCTATTAGAGTTGAGCTCACAGCATGTCTGAAGATGCTGTGTGCATGGCTTTCCATAGGGATGGCTGCATATCAGGGGCATTTTCCTCTCCTGGTCACACAGACGTGGGAAAGTGTGTCTGGACACAGCGGCAGGCAGTAGAAGCTGCCGGGTGGGCAGTGCCAGCTGGTGAGGCTTGGAAGTTGAGTTCCTAACTGGCAAGGAGAACAAAGAAACCATGGTTCGACTGTACACACAGCAGCCTGCCTCATATACACAGCATGCAAGCCTACACACACATGAACACATGGCAACCCACTTCATATATACACACATGCACACATACAGAAACCTAATTCATATATACCATCCCACTACCTACAAATATATATAAACATACACACACAGCCCACTTTATACACACATGTATGACCCACGCACACAAGCCCGTTTCAAACATCTACACGTGTATGCACAACCCACTTTGTGCACACGTGTGCACATCAGCCCACACACGTCACTCCATCTACACAACCACATCTGCACCGTGTTCTCTTTTTCTGTTCCCGACTCACACAGGGTGCAGACAGCGACTCTGGGTCTACTCTGCGTTGGTCTATCTGCAGGAAGCCCGTGAGTTTTCTGTCAGTGCTCCAGGGCAGTGCTCCAAAAGCCCACATCGGAGAGTGAATGCAGCTTGATGGGCGGGCAGCAGAGCTGGCACACTCCGAGGTTCAGCTGGGATTAGCTAGTTCCGTGCTCGTTAAGGCATTTCATTCTGATAAAATATGTTAAATGAAAACGTGGGTGGGAGAAGAGGCAGAATGTTCTTCCCAAACCCCAGTTAATTGCCGGCGTTTTCCTTGGAAGGAATAGTGTCTCTTCATAAGTGCTCACTCTGCCGCACAGGGGACAGACTTGTGTGTCCAGGAAAGCCTGGTGAGAACAGTAGAGCTAGGAGACTAAGCCATGCAGGTGCACAGGAGGAGCTGAGCCATGGGGGTCCACATGAACTGAGTCACACCAGTCTATGGTGGAGTGTGGGCTGAGCCACACGGGTCCATGGCAAAGCATGTGGGGCCATGGTGGAGCGTGACTCCCATCAACGGGGCTGCTGAGCCATGTAGGCTTCTAGCAATGTGTGGTATGATCTTACTGGTTCCATCCCACGGAGCTAGCCCACAGCCTCAGTTCAGGGTACGTGAGGAGTGGCAGTGACCTTGGGAAGACATTACCCATAAGTCCCAGCCATCTTTTATCCTCAGATGGAGGATGTGTGGTTTAGAACAGAGTGTATTCAGAACCCCTTGTTTATGTGACAGGGTTCCCAGTTTGGCTCTGTTGAGAGGGAGTGGGCCCATTAGGAGGTGGCAGGCAGGGAGAGGTATTCAAGAGGTGGCCTTTGAAGGACACAGTGTCTTGGGTGACACTAGCATCCTCCAGACCACACTGGGCTATGAGTAAACAGTCTCCAACATCACACACTTTGTGCCACCAAGACCTAAAGTCATAGAGTCCATTGGTCACAGACCAGGAGCCGAAGTAAACCTTGCATCTTTATGGGTCAGTTATCAGGTGTTTATTACAGCAACGGGAGGCTGAGTAGCACAGAGGAGGGAACCATTAACAGCCTCTGAGCCACCCTGATAGCTCCCAGAGGAACTGTGGGACAGGGCATGGTCCCTAGTCCGGTCCCAGTGCTGGCCTGGACAGCATGGGGCATCCCTTTTCCTTTTTTGGAGATTTGAAGGGAAGAATAGAGAATTCTCCCTTCCGTGCCAATCCAGAAGCACCAGCCATCAGCTTTCTGCTTGTCCCTCCCGATTGGGTTCCATGTCTCCGGCGGTGCTGATGGCGCCTAACGGGATGTCAGCACAGGCTTTGAGAGCTGCTCGCTGCTCTAATGTGCTCATGAAGTTTGACTGCTGGCAAGATCCAGGGGAGGATAAAACAGGACTTGTAGAAAGAGGTCTATTCTGCAGCTGAATCTAATAAAAATTCAGAATTCGTTAACTGGGGAGGTTGTCCGCGGCAGCACAAATTGACTGGAGACAAGGAGGAGGAAAGTGGTGTTCTTGGGGACAAGTGGTTTAATTTTGGGAACTGATATTTGAGAAGACAGGAAGCCCTGCAAAGCAGTCCGTGGGGCCCCTGCTAGAAAAGGGGCCCCAGAAATAGCTGCAGAGGAGACTGGAGGAAGCTGCCACAAATGCACTCTGAGCAGGGACTGTGCCCAGCAGGTGACAAAGGCAGCATCTGCAGCAGAGGGCTAGGTCACCTGACCCAATGATGACAGCCACAGGTAGCTTAGCCAGACGGAAGCTGAGGGTTTCTTCTCCCGTTTCATGTGTTTAATGTGCACGTGTGTGGGCATATTTGGGTGGGTTCATATGCACATGTGACCATTTAAAGACTAAAAAGGCAGGAGGGGAACTGGAAAGATGGCTTAGCGGTCAACACCAGCTGCTCCTGCAGAGGACCCAGATTCTCTTCCCAGCACCCACATGGAGGATCCCATAGTCATCTATAGCTCCTGTCCCATGGGATCTGACACCCTCTTGTGGACTCTCACATGGGAAAACACACACACACACAGAGGGGGGAATGGATGGATGGATGGATGGATGGATCGATCGATCGATAGACAGACAGACAGATAGGTGGGTGGGTGGATGGACAGATAGATTTATTTAAAGGCAGAAAAAGCATGGAAGGCATGGTAGGGGCCAGGGAGAGACAGAGAAAGAGAAAGGAGGAAGGACAGGATGGAGGAAATGCTGGTACAAGCATGAGCATAGCACACAGATTCCCCCAAATGAGGTCTATGTCTGAGTTTGTCTAGCAAGAGACAAACTTTTATGTATTTGAAGATGGGGTGAGTTCCCTTTTACACCCAGAATTGACTGTTTAGCTACTGCAGAGAATTGGATAATCTAGAGAGAGAAAGGGAGACCTGAGGAGACGCCACCCTGCTGGCCACTCCCTATCTTCTGAGATGCCCCAGAGATCACCCAGCAGAGCTTAAGTTCCCAAAGGGATAGGGCACCCTCAGACCCAACACTGCAGACAGAGAAGATGTCTCTGAGGACTTATGAGGTGACCAGGTAGTTATAGGACCCCAGGCTGCCCATTTTCACGGCCAGTCCACAGTCATCGGGAAGAGTGTCAACTTGATGGCCATCACCTTAGGAGTCCTGGTCAAATCATCTCTGTCTTACTAGCTGTTGTGGCTTAAAGTGATGTGTGTGTGTGTGTCCAGTT